AGGCAGGAGGGTTTCGGTGAGTTTGAGGCCATCCTGGGCTACATAAATGAGTTCAAGGCTAGTGTACACTATATAGCAAAACTGTATCTCAAAAATAGCACTTTTTTTTTTAATCTAAAGGTGCTTTTTGTGTTTGTTTTTAAATCTTTTTATTTTTTCTATTTGGTACAGGGTCTCGCTATAAAGCTTAGACTCCTAGTGATCTTCCTGTCTCAGCCTCTCCAGCGCTGGGATTACAGGCATGCACCACCATGCCCAGTTTTGGTGGCTGGTATAGTGTACCTGGGTGGCACAGCATGCAGTACTGGGGATCAAACCTGGGTCCTTACACTTGCCTGGCAGGCGCTTAAACCGCTGAGCTATCTACCCAGCACATTTCTCTCCTTTTCTTACTAATCCTATTTAAAATTTACTTCTAGGTATTAACACCCACTAAGTGCTTCTTGGGGCTCCCACTGCACTGTGGGTAATCCACAGAATTAGGTGAATTCCCCTAGAACTCTGTGAGACCAGCAGAGAAACATCAACAGTGCCTAGAACTTGGGTGCCTACATTGGAATTGTTCATTCATTTGTACTTTTTAATATGCTTTTGTGAGAATTTGCATAATTTGGCTTGCATTTCTAGCTGTCTGTAATTCATGGTAAGATTGTATATATTCCTTGACATCAGAAACTAGTTTTCAGGGCCAAGGAGATAGCTCAGTAGAATAAGCGCAGGCCTGAGTTCAATCCCCAGTTCCGCAAAAAAAAAGAAGAAGAAGAAGAAGAAGAAGAAACTAGTTTTCATCCCCAGAAGGTATAACTTTGCTTATCTTCAACACAAGCACTTGTGTATGCGTGGTACCTAGTAGTGAAAGAAACTCCCGACCTTCTCATGTTTCTGTTACAGGCATGTCATGTTGCCCAAGGATATTGCCAAGCTGGTTCCTAAAACCCACTTGATGTCTGAATCTGAATGGAGGAATCTTGGTGTTCAGCAGAGTCAGGGATGGGTCCATTATATGATCCATGAACCAGGTCAGTGTAACAGCTAAAAGCCAGTGCTGGTAGGTTTGCCGTACTGAGGGAATGAAGGAATAAAAGTTCATAACCCAAAACAGTGGGGTGGGGGGTGCTGGGTAGATAGCTCAGTAGAATAAGCGTTTCCCTGGCAAGCACAAGGGCCTGAGTTCAATCCCTGGTTCTACCAAAAAAAAAAAAAAAAACAGTGGATGGGTAGGAGGAAATGATTTACTGGGTTCTCCCTCCCATACACCTGTTATCTAAATGAGCATGACCACAAAAGTAAAATCTGGGAAATTTAGGGATAACTGTTACTGGAAAACTTCTTTTAATCTTCAGTTTAACCAGGGAGTACGTTTTCTTAACACTGATTATAGCTCCAGATTTGTTTGCCGTCAGAAAGCAAATTCTTGGATGTGTTCCAAATAAGCAAAGGAAATTGTATTCCTTGATAAGACACCAGACACCCAGTTGCCAGGCAAAACTAATAAAGCACTCTCCAGGGCTGTAGCAACATAGCAAAAGAACTAATATTAACAATTCTGTACTTGGCAGACAGGGTCTGCTTGTACGGTCATATGCTTACATCTTAATTCAGTTATAAAGATCTGAGTGAGTGATAGCTGGGCGAGGCCGTGGGATACCCTGTGGTTGTCCATAGATTGATGTAAACTTGGCCCTTACTTTACCCTCACTCTTTCAGAACCTCATATCTTGCTGTTCCGACGGCCGCTACCCAAGAAGCCAAACAAATGAAGCTGGCAAGCCGCCTTTCAACCTCAAGCTATACACAGCTGTCCTTCCTGCCTGTCTTTCTGATAATACGATTATGTTGCCTTCTCTTTTCTCACTTTGATATTTAAAGGATGTTCATTACACTGTTTGAATGTGCTGATGACTGCCTTGCCTCTTGAGTGGGACCACAGCTCTGCCTGTGAGTCTCTGGGCTGCAGATCAGCCTAGTCTGACCCGAGGAGCCGCGGTGTGCTCTGTTTCTAGCAGAACACACCAGACAGGTGGAAGAAGCATCTGAGAAGCAGACCGTGGCTTTTAGGGGATTGTGTAAGCTTGCTGTTTTGTGTTTTCCTGCTGGGTATTACGTGTACTTTATGGTGATTTATGGATTTGCATTTCCATTTTATTTGAGAAATCTGTTCAATGTTAAAGCCTTGATTAAAGAAGTTTTTATAGTCTGATTCTATGATTGTAAGAACTCCCCCCACCCACTTAGGTATCCCTTTCAATATTTTGGTTCTAATTATATACCTTTTCTCAGCTATTTGAGATAATGAAGTTTATGTGGACTCGTGTTTCGGTTTTTTTTTCTCCCCAGAACCAGGGATTGAACTCAGCCCCTTGTGCTTGCCAGGCAAGTGCTTAGTCTACTGAACTGTCTCCCTGGCCCCCTGGCTTGGATTTTTGATAGTGGGAGTTGACTGGGTTACATCTCTACCACTTTTTATTTATTTTTTTAAGCTGGGCATGCCTACAATGCCAGCATTTGGAGACAGAGGCTGGAGGATCACTGAAAGTTCAAGGCTACCCTGGATTATACCAAGACACCATCTCAAAAAACTTTTTTTTTTTTAAGGCATCAGCTCAGTAAATTGCTGAATTACCCAAGCTGGGCTAAAATTTATGATCCTTTTGCTTCAGCCTCCCAGAGTACAAGGATTATTGATCTGTGCCACCATCCCCAGCTGTGGCTTTTAATCTCTTAAACAGACTTGTCAAACACCTATTGAAGTATGCTTCGCTCTAATGACTTACCTAAAGTTGAGGTTACATTAGGACAGCTTCATTTTAGGATTGAGCTGTTTCCTGCACTGAGGAGGGCTGCCTTTCCCATTTCAGGACCTCCAAGGGCTGAGAGAGGAGGCTATCTTAAAAAGGGTACTCCTGTGTCTGCCTGTGACCACCACACCCTTGACCTGTTCACTGTGCCTGCTGGTGGGGTGTCAGTTTCAGTAGTTGTCAAACTTGATTGAGGAATAGAATCAGCTGGGCAACTTTGCAATTACACCCACAACTCATTCCAAGAGATTTTGACTTAGTTGGTAGGGTGCAAAGGCTGGAAATAATTTCAAATATTCCTGTGCCCACTAGTTGCTAAGCTCTGAGAAAATTTGGGTGTAAATTTGGGCATGGTTGGGCCCACCCATCATCCCAGTAGAGGCAGGAGCAGCTCGGCTCAAGGCCCGCATGGGTACATTGTAAGACTGTCTCAAAGAAAAAAAAGATCCGTAAGAGGATCTACTTAACAGTAAACTATCCTTAACATTTCACCAAGTAATAGATTAACCTCTAAAAATAAAAGCACGGAGAGAGATTAATGTCTCTTTTCTTGTCTTCAGTCCACTTACTCCTACAAGAGTTCTTTGGGTCTCATCCTGATGTCATCCAGGCATCAACATCAACTGGAAACTTTTTGTCTTTTTTTTAATCTTATTTATTTGGTACAGGGTCTCAACAATAGTGATGCTCCTGTCGCAGCCTTTCCAGTGCTGGGATTGCAGGCATGCACCACCACACCCACTCAGCGCCTAGGACCATCTTGGTATGTGGCACCAGGGATCAAATCCCGATCCTTGTACTTGCCAGGCAAGTGCTTAGACCACTGAGCTATCTCCCCAGCCTGAAACTTCCACCTTCAGACCAGTTGAAACCCAGTAGACCCAGCAATATATTAGTAACAAGATTTAATTAAAAAATAAAAAGATGGGGGGCTGGAGAGATGGCTCAGTAGAATAAGTGCTTCCCTGGCAAGCACAAGGGCCTAAATTCAATCCCAGGTTTGACCCAAAAAAAAAAAAAAATTAAGATTTCCCATCTGGGCACAGTGGTGCGCACTTGTAATCCCAGCACTCAGGAGGCTAAGGCGGAAAGATGTTTGAGGCCAGCCTGGACTACATAAGTAAAAACCCCCCAAAAAAAAAATCCCTAGCCTGTAAATTCTGTATGTAGTGATGGTGCAATCTTAGCACTCCAGAGGCCAAGGTAGGGGAGGATCCATAGTTGAAAGCCAGTGTAAACTACACAGTAAGATACTGTCACAAAGCAAATACACACACAAAGGCCCTCGAGGATTAGTGTAAAAATTAAAGTACAGGGGCCAGTGAGACCGGGTTTGATCCTGGTTCCACATGCCACGCCGGGTGCCTTGAGCTGCCACTGAGACCAGGCGTGGTGGCACATGCCTGTAATTCCAGCGCTGGGAAGGCTGAAAACGGGAGGATCGCTACGAATCCAAGCTGCGTAGTGAGACGCTGTACCAAATACATTAAAAAGAAAACCAAAAAGCTAAAATTCAGCTGGGCGGAAGTGGCACATGCCTGTAATCCCAGACTGAGTGAGGCAGAGGGGATCTTAAGTTTCTGACCAGCCTATTTCAAAACAAAATTGAAATTCAACAAGTATTTTGCTCACAGCACACCCTCACCCACCCCCAAAGCCACTTTTAGACAAAAGACAATTGAAATGAGGATAAGCCAGGATGGTTAGGATGATGTGATAATCCAAAACCAACACAGGATTCACTCCCTGTTTAGAGTCTCCTTACAAAACCAGTGACTGAGAGGTGGTGTTTGATCTAAGCATCATCTGGAACCATGGAGGGTCAAAGGAAATGGAACTTTTGTTTGTGTGGTACTGAGGATTGAGCCCAGGGGACTTCGCACTGTGAACTTCCTTGTATTAAAAAAGGGATCCTGGTGTACTACGCGGCGCCAGTAGTCTAGCTACAGGGTAAGGAGAGTTAGGCAAGGGGAGCGCTTAAGGCCAGGACCGATCTAAGCAGCATAATATGAGAGACCCTCACATGACAAAATAACTGGGGCTAGGATTGTAGCTCAATAGAGCGTTTACCCAGCACGCGCCAAGCCCGGGATTTACTCTGCAGGCTGAAACGCAAAATTAAGCGTCCCTCCTCCTCCCGCCCCGCGGCGCGGCACGCAAGCGTGGACGCGCGGTGGGTGGGGCTTAGCGCGAGGGCGGAGCTTAGCGGCGCGGCCTGACGCGGACCCGGGCGGTGGGAGTTTGCGCGGCATATCCTGAGGTGACCGGCGTGCACGCGTGCCGAGCGGTGCAGCATGGCCGACGCAGGAGTAAACACTTTGCCAAAGAGGCATAAAAAGAAGAAGGACAGGAAATCATTACCAGAAGAAGATGTGGCCGAAATACAACACGCTGGAGAATTTCTTATCAAGCCAGAATCCAAAGTGGCTCAGTTGGACACGTCTCAGTGGCCTCTCTTGCTCAAGAACTTCGATAAGCTGAACGTAAGGACAACACACTACACACCTCTTCCTTGTGGTTCCAACCCTCTGAAGAGGGAGATTGGGGACTATATAAGGACAGGCTTCATTAATCTTGACAAGCCTTCTAACCCCTCTTCTCATGAGGTGGTAGCCTGGATCCGGCGCATCCTCCGCGTGGAGAAGACAGGGCACAGTGGCACACTGGACCCCAAGGTGACTGGCTGTTTAATCGTGTGCATAGACCGAGCCACTCGCTTGGTAAAGTCACAGCAGAGTGCAGGCAAAGAGTATGTGGGAATTGTTCGGCTGCACAATGCAATTGAAGGGGGGAGCCAGCTTTCTAGGGCCCTGGAAACTCTGACCGGCGCCCTATTCCAGCGACCCCCACTCATCGCTGCGGTAAAGAGGCAACTCCGGGTGAGGACGATCTATGAGAACAAAATGATCGAATATGACCCTGAAAGAAGATTGGGAATCTTTTGGGTGAGTTGTGAGGCCGGCACCTACATTCGGACGCTGTGCGTGCATCTGGGTTTGTTGCTGGGAGTTGGTGGTCAGATGCAGGAACTTCGGAGGGTTCGTTCTGGAGTCATGAGTGAGAAGGATCACATGGTGACGATGCATGACGTGCTCGATGCACAGTGGCTGTATGACAACCACAAGGATGAGAGTTACTTGCGGCGAGTCATTTACCCTTTGGAAAAGCTTTTGACATCTCATAAGCGGCTGGTTATGAAGGACAGTGCAGTCAATGCCATCTGCTATGGGGCCAAGATCATGCTTCCAGGTGTTCTCCGGTATGAGGACGGCATTGAGGTCAACCAGGAGATTGTGGTCATCACTACCAAGGGGGAAGCAATTTGCATGGCTGTTGCATTAATGACTACAGCAGTGATCTCTACCTGTGACCACGGTATAGTGGCCAAGATCAAAAGAGTGATCATGGAGAGGGACACTTACCCTCGGAAGTGGGGCTTAGGGCCCAAGGCAAGTCAAAAGAAGATGATGATCAAGCAGGGCCTTCTGGACAAGCACGGCAAGCCCACCGACAGCACCCCTGCCTCGTGGAAGCAAGAGTACGTGGACTACAGTGAGTCTAGCAAGAAAGAAGTAGTTGCTGAAGCAGTAAAAACACCACAGGCAGTTGCTAAAGTGACCAAAGCCCCACAGGTAGTCACTGAGGTAGTAAAAATCAAGAAGCGGAAGCGAGAGAGTGAGAGTGAAAGTGAGGAGACCCCAGCAGCAGCCCTCAAGTTGTCCAAGAAGGAAAAAAAGAAGGACAAGAAGGCCAAAGCTGCACCAGAGATCAGGGATGTGCCTAGAGAGGACAATGACATCACCAAAAAGAAGAAGAAAAAGAAGAAAGCCAAAGTGGTGGAAGTGGCATCTGACTAGCGAGGGCTACTTTGAGCAGTTGTGTTCAGGCGACTTTTCCTAAGTGGAACCCTTGCTGAGAAAAAGTTCCTTTGGTTACTGAGGGAGTGGAACAAAGGTCCTGGACAAGGGTAGAGAATCCCTGGCACCTTCAGCTGTTCCTCGAGACCTCCTCAGTAGCATCACCTGGCGTGCTCATCCCATCTTACCCTGTTTCTAGGGTATGGATGATGGAGGCAACTCCTTTTATGCCACTGACTCATCTGGCTTGGGAAGTTCCACCTTTGGACCCAGTGCTGCCATTCACTAATGATCTTTTTTAATGTTATCGTCCTCTCCTAGTTTGCTTTTTTCTTACCCTATTTAAAAAGTTTGTATACATTATTCAATAAATTGACTAGAAAGTGAAAGAGCTGACCGGTGTTGCTCATGGGGGAAGCCTTGTCTCTGAAGTCTTTTGAGGACAGACAGTGGTCTGTTCCCTTGAGGGGGGAGGTGATGCTTTGTTTCTGGCCCAGCTGTTAATCCTGTGTGCACTTCTCAAAGCCTGTATGTCTGGGGACATAGCTCAGTGGCATTAAGCACCTGCCTGGCAAGCAGAGTCACGAGTTCCATCTCTAGTACACCCCACCCAAAAAAAATTCACAAAATTAAAGCCTGTGTGTATAGTTGCACCTGACTACTGTGGTTGTGATGAAAACCAGGCCATTCTTATGTTTTAATCCTCATTTACTTTTTGTTTGGTACCTGGAATTGAACTCAGGACCATGGGCTTGCCAGGAAAGTGGGTGCTGTGCTGCTGTTTATTTATTTTTGGTCTTTCAGAGATTGCCTCGCTATGCAGTTCAGGCAGGGCCTTAAGCTTACTTTGTAGCCCAGGCTAGTCTCAGTGATCCTCCTTGCTTCAGCCTCCTGCCTCCCCAGTGTTAGGATTACAGGCATGCGCAAACTACACCTGGGCCCTCATTTACTTTTGAGGAATTTGCTCATTGTTTAGAATGTGATGTTTACATATTAAAGTTGATTCGCAGCTTTTTTTTTTTTTAACTATTCCTGTTGGCTTTTAGAATTTTAAGTGATCTCAAACTGGCAGAACAAAACAAGTAAAATTATTTTGGTTAAGAATATGGAAACGGGGGCCGGGGAGATGGCTCAGTGGAATAAGTGCTTCCCTGGCAAGCGCATGGACCCGAGTTCAATCCCCGGTTCC